AGCATCATCCGTCTCCTTTTTGAGCAACGAGGAACAATCAATGGAAGCCAATGCTATGGGCCATGAATAAAACATTGCGACGCATTGTTACAGGAGCCAAAACTGGCGATCAANGGCGATCAACATAGAGGTCAATGACCAAGTTCATGTAGTACATAATCAAACGACAGTGTGTGAGAGAGAGGGGGAGTGTTCACACCAATAATCACGGAAACATTTACTCACTATGCATAACAGTACACTTGAGTTCGTCTCATTTTGTGCTTTGTATACGCTACTGAAACCTTACCAGTTTCACATTCGTGTTTCGAGGCTGGAGACAGCGTAAGATCGCACCAGAATACCTCCGTCTTCCAGACAACGAAACAGCCGTTTGAATCAGTCAACTGTGATAGGCATGCATGTTTTCAATGCATCTTTCATTCACTTTTTCCATCTCGGGTGGCGATCTGCAGTTGATACCGTACCAATGAATCGGATTCGCCTAAATCGCGTTCCAAATTTTGATTGCTTTTTGGGGGTTAGATTCAGTTTCCAGGTTTTCTCGAATGGTGATTCAGGATTTTATCGAGGTGTTCAGTCCAGTTTTTTCCCCCTCGAATGAAGGTTAGTCGACTGTGGTATATCCCCCTCCCCCCCCAAAAAAAAAAAAATTTGTCGCATGTGAAGCGGTTGACTTGCAATAGCTTTCCGAAAGTTCTGTTTCATTAAGTTCCCGTATTTCTGACTTGCGAACATTACTTGTGCTTTACTGTATTTATAAGTAAATGTGTAATGGAAACCCATATTAGTAATGTTTCTGTGACAGTGACTGTCTTATCTTTTCACCGAAACATGGGTCAAGTGGAAAACCGTTTTTAAACTGTCCTGCAAAATCTTCGTCGACCATTTAAACTTNTTAAACTTGCTCATCTGATACACGTTTTTCAGGACCTGCCTTTTCGCTCCATTGCTGCCCTGTGACTTTTGCTCCTCGTGCTTTCATCTGGATTGTTTGGATCCACCATTACCACACTTCCCATCTCGTTCGGACCGGTGGATGTGTCCTAATCATGTTGAGCATGTTGTTGATCGTTACCTTGTCCGATCCATTCGTCTCACGGAACGAATGCGTATATGGGCCCAGTTGGCTTCTTCGGGGACTAATGATTCCACAGATGCACCAGTGGACTCACATGCGACTAGTCACACTCCGGTCAGCGCGGAATCAGGGGAAGTATCCGCTAAAAGCTCTCTGTCCGAATCCCAGGCCAATGCTCCCGCCAATCAGTGCACAGCATCGGTAACTGAGCGACCCACTACACCACCGTTACCGATTGTTGCCCCGTACGAACTCAGTTACGGGCCAGATGATGAGGCAACCATACTGGCTGACCTTATGCACAGAGTACAACGAGGAAGAGCCGAGCTGTCTTCTCTGGTAGCTTCCGCGAATACAGCACAGGAAACTGTGGGTGACCGTGCTCGAGTCATAACTTCAGGTACTGCACGTGACTGTTGGCGCCTCAACAGTTCCCCAACCTGTCAAATCCTTCGGGACCAGAAACGCAAACTCAAAATTGTGGTAAGTAATTCCTGCCGGTCTTGCTAAATCTGTTTTTCTCTTTCCAATTCTACAATCAAGGAAAATCGTAGTTGGTTTAGAGAAGGAAAAAGCCAGACAGTTGTTCGCTCACCTTTTTCGGCACCAGGACGTTCGGGTGTGTTCCGTAATCATTTTAAACAGTACGGCCGTTTTGTACTAATATTTTTTTATTTAAAACGATCACTCTGTCTGCTTTCCGAAATCAAAATTCGATTGCTCTCACCTAGTTGATGTTTCATAAATAGCAACCCCCATATAAATGTCCAATATGAGATTGCGATTCTCACTTGTTACTTCGTTTGCTTGGCCTCGAGTTTGCTAACACAATGCAGTCATCCTTTACTGACGTTTGGCCTCAGTATGGTCCGGAGGTGGATTGTGCCTGATCACCCTTCCCTTGCATCTTGCTAAATGCTCTTGTTCGACTAAGCGTCTTAAACAGCCCCTACTGAGAATGCCTTACAGCCATCCCGCGGCGGAGATGTTTTCCCACCAAAGTGATTGGACGAAAAAGCTACATTCGGTGCTGTAATCGGGTTGGTGTACCACTCGCAGTTCATAAGAGAGAGTTAGCTAAAGAAACCTGATTTCAAACCAACCAAGAAGAGGTGTACGGACCACACCCACCCACACCTTCCTGGATGTGGCAGTGGTCACCTACTCGATTGGGCACCTGGGACGTTTGACCCAGTCTAAAAGGCGCATGATCCAGCNTGCTTTACGAGTCAGGATTTGGCTGTCTGAAGGCTCCGGTTGTGAATTCCTCAATAAAATTCTCCCGCCCAGACCTGGGCAATCTGATTGTATTCGGCCCACATGCAAATCCTGGACGTTTTTTCTTAAAGATTATTGTACTGTGATTTGTTTGGCACACAGTCTGTCCTCAGTCGTGTGATATATTAACGTAAATAGATACAGCATCTATCGACAAGTAACTTTACCACTTCACACACGCACACAAACACTCACACACACGCAAACTCTTCCGTTCCGAGTTTCATTGCAATTACCATGTGTTTGCCACCACCCTTTGTTACCCCCCTCTTCAAACTAACTTTGCAGTTCTCTCGAGAGTTTCACGGCTCGAACAACGTGCATTCCCTGTTTAGGAAGTGATTCTGTTTCTCACATACCTGATATGGTCCCTGTTTCTGATTTCATTAGACCCCCTCATTGTGTGCGTATTGCGAAAAGCCTTTTCTGTGTCGGTCCGTACCGCGTCTCGACAGTTCATGCGATGGATAGCCATTCTCTAAACACGGAAGTAAACTTTAATTTCCAAACCGAACTCATCGAGCGGCGTAAGCAGGACTGAAACACATTTGGCGTAGACTCGACGTTTTACTTAGGTTGAAAGGTCCTGTATATTGTGCTAGCGTTCTTTCAGTTCTGCTTTATGGTTTTGAGACCTTGAATTTGCAAGTAGAATATATCCGTCGACTAGAAGTTTTCGAATGCGTAGTTTATCACATGTGGGATGGAGTAAACAGGTTAGTAATCTGGAGGTAAGACGTCATGCGTCTGAGAGATTATCAGAGATAAACCTGCTAGCACACCGAATTCAGATTAGTAGGCTTTGCTGGCTAGGGCACGTATTGTGCACTGCGCTTTATTCGCTGCAGCTAATCCGGGCTAGAGGAAACCACATGGAGGTCAACAGATGAAGAAATGTACAGAGCCATTAGGTAGCGTAGGTGTCTCTCGCCTTCCAGGTTGAGGTCCGAAAGACTCCACAACCAGTTGGTTGGGGACATTGAAGGATATAGCAGCGAATCGACAGCACTGGCGTTCTTGTTGTCATTTCTTATCAGGTCAGAATACTTGAAACGGTATGTATGCAGAGTTCGATCGCGTACTCTGTGTGTTGACCATAGTGGCTCGCCTTCTTCTCCCTCCCTCAAAATAGATCCAATCCCTATCCAACCTTAATTTTACCACTAACCTTGTATGCATTGCGAGTTTGGTAGCGATCAGTGAATTTCGCTTCAGTGTATTTCGCTGTACGATGGTGCTGATGCTGATGATCCGACGATTGCAGTTCTCACTGAAGTTACACGTCAGCGTGAGATACAGTAGATACAATCTAATGTGGACGATTGCCAGGGTTGTTGTTTCGCGGAAGACGATTAGGTTTGATCTGCAGAACATTTTGGCACTACGTCATCGCACTTCATCTGTCGCAGTCCTCTTTACGAACTGGATTTGACTATTGGTTCCAGATCGGATCAACACAGAGCGTAACGAGATGTTCGGATTGATCTCCTCAGTCGTTATGCCCCCGTATTATCCTTTTAGGGTTGATGAATCCTGATAAACGTGTTGAGACAGTTCAAGATTTGAAAAATGGATTGACTGCTCTTACATCGGGCTAGCTTTCCAGTTCGACCACTTTTTGAATTGTATGCACCAAACGTTGAAGCCAGCTCTGGACCTTACAGTCCCAGTTCCATCAGTTCAAACTGATTACTGGTACTCGCCGGATTGATTTTAAAAAATAAACAAACGTGAATATGGTTGGAAGCTTGGTTCTGTCTCCGGCCTACTCTGCGCCAGTTCACCGGCAGTCCCAGTGACGCATGCCTATGTAAGGCAAATTTCCAACTATCACAATAGATTCCCGAACATATTCCAAAATGGTTGTCCAAGTCATTGACTTTTGCAAAGCTTCTCTTCACAAGAGCAACGTAACCGAAATGCTAAAATTTTGACAACTCCTGAAGCATTGCCGATTCGACTACATGGTTCAACTTTATGAGCCGAAAAGCCGTTGATGCAATCTATCCACCGTGGGGTAGGTCTTTCATTTCTTGTCTTGATTATTCTTCAGTTCCCCGTACTTAATCATTCATCTGAGTTGATCAACCCATTGTGCATATGTAAATTTGTTTCTTGTCAGCAATTGAGGAAAGAAACGAAGTGTTGACGTTTCGTGACGTTGGTCTGCTCTCAGTTTTGAATTAATAAACGGAGAGGATGCCATGTTCTGGAGTAGATTATTTATCTATTTTATTTTCAGATGTAAGAAGACAATACTTCCATCGTTATTGACGATTTAATTTTACTACTGTTATGGTATTGTTCTTGTTATAAAGCGCTGTCATTTCTAATAACACTGTGCGATATATGTGAACAACGCTGTTTATCGTTTCCTGATCGTACTTACTGAGGAGCTCGTCTCTTTCAAGTGGTGTATACTTTATGAATTTGTCTGTAATGTGTCGTTTCGAGACTGTCTTTGTTTCCTTCCCTTTGAATTCCGTTTAGGGTGACAGTTCTGCATGCGATGGTAGCAAGTAGTTGTTATCTGAGCACAGAATGGGATTCGGAGCTGGAAAGATGCGTGTTTTATACTTTTGAATGATTTTTGAGACCCCCAAAGCTGCTGTGAATTAGGGTTTTTGCCCAACTCCAGTGGTCCGCCAGCCCGGTTATACCCTCGGATATCAGTTATTTGTCCTCTCACTTTGGTGGGCAAACACCTCCGCCACGCCCAACGAACCACACAACTTCCTGGTTGTGGCAGTGGTCACCGGCTTAACTGCGCATCGAGGTGTATTGCACACCATGGAATTTTGACCCCGTCTAAAGGGCGTATGATTTGATGAACTAGACACCGGCCCCCAATGGGTTGCGATTTTCCCACACCGCCCCGCTGCCTTTTGGGTTAGGCTTTGACTAACCAAAGGCTCCGGTTGTGGATTCCTCAAGGAAATTCACCAGTCTAGGCCTGGGCAACCTGACAGTATTCCGCCCACATGCAAATCATGGAACGTGTTTCTTTTTATAAAGATTATTGTACCATGATTTGTTTGGCACATAGTTTGACCTCAGACGTGTGTGAAATATGAAGTGTATAAATACTAATGCTGCTGCTGTTGCTGCTATCAACAAGTTGTTTGGATGAACGTTCCCCATTCCTACCGTATTGTGGTAATATCAATGATTATCGGGTTCCATTCCCTACCGTACATAATGCTTGTCATATACTGGAAAAAGATAACATCATAATTTTTCACTTTATGCAAACTCGCGAAGCAACTGTTTGATCACTGACCACTTTGTTCTGCACACATATACACACTGCACAGGTTCCCCGCGCGATTAAATGGTTGTACGTCAATCGAGTCAAAAAAATCCCCACAAATCTGTCGCACGTCGAACCGCCTCGTGAAACGGAGCCATCGAATGAAGCGGATCAAAAACTGGTAGGTATGAACTGGAGCTCACGGGTTTTCTTTTTCTGCCTACCCAATAAGCGAATTACTTAACGTTACTTTATCCACTTTTCGGTGTTTTCCACGTTTCCTGTTACAGTTCTTGAAGTTACTTGGAGTTTTTTCAGTGTTCATTGATTACCTACACGGTCGTCGATTTTTGTTGTGTCAACAGTTGTTCATGCTAGTTAGTGTTCAGTTGTTCACGAGGCCTTATGTGGTTCACCACTCCAAACACCGGGACTTTGGTTACCGGTTTCCCGTCATTGACCAAAAGGTCTTCGCGACTATGGGGTCCACCTTGTCTACTGATCATCACACGATGTGTGTGTAATAAAAAAGAAATAATAAGTCATTTTTTATAGCAATCCATTTTGAACCACTCTCACCATATACGCACTTTATCGTTGTGTGCTCTCTCTCTCTACTTCGAGTCAAAGTTCGGCGTTTTTTATTACTGTGGTCGCGGCGCGGCGGTCAAGCGGTATTGGTCACGATCATGAATTCCTGGCAGTCGTATGTTCCGACGCCCCCACCCTTCCACCACCACCATCTAACATTCTCATTTTCTTCCTATCGTATGGTAACTACCCCCTTTTCGAATTTAGTTTGTTCAGCTCTGTTTTCAGTAAAAAAGGCGAATTCACAATTTCAAAACTACGTAGTCTGGAGAACACCTTGGTGTGATGAACAGTAGACCGGTAAAACCTAATAGCCTCGATGACCTGTTGTACAGCGAAGGAAACTAGCAACCTAAGCCCCGCGGGACTTGGAGTGACGAACCACATAAGGCCCATAAGGCACATAAGGCGTGGCATTGAACCGGGCGATAACAAAGCTGCCTACCACCAAAGTTGAGTGGCAGTGGCGGAGCTCAAACCGCGGGCCATGGGGTCCAAAGCATGCCAATGACAGCGAAATTTGTTTAGCCAGCATCATCTCTAAACTTCTCACTGGTACTTTACTCTGTCGATTGTCTACCACACGAGAACGGTGAACGTGTGAGTACCAGGCTGGTTTTATACCTGGTCGATATTGTATCGACCACATCTTCACTCCTCGCCGAATTCCGGAGCATCGACATTCTTTTCGTAGACCGACCATCTTTGTTTTCCTCAATTTGAAAGTGGATTTCGACTCAGTCGACCGCTCTAAACTCTGGCCCTGCCTTTCCTTGAAGAGTGGGGCAGCCGGACGAGCAATACTTAGATTAGACGTAGAGTTTTAGATAATCGTGGTCGTCCATTGGAGTAAGTAGTCCACCTCCATATATTACTTTGTTTAGCGTATGTGTTACGCATGCCACCAGATAGGTTGCCACGGCGAGCTTTGTTTGCCCGGGTAGACAGTGGGTGGAGAAAAGGCAATGATGATCAACCTAAGGCCTGGCACGAGAGTATAAAAACCCTAACCAAGGAGGCTGGGTCACATAAGTCCCGTTAGCTTCCCTGGTCGAGGACCTCGGGATGACCCCAACCGATCGGTAGCGACACTGAGTGATATGACTGAGTGTCGTAAACAGTGGCCTTCGTGCATCTTCTCAATTTATTAGACTACTGAAATTCTCCATTTTTTCTGTTCGACTCCACTTTCAACTGTTCTGTGTTTCTCCTACTGTTCATCCAAGTAGGCAGTTAACAGACAGCAACCAAAACCGGCGCACGAAGTTGCATTGTTAATGGTTGTACAAACTGAAAGTGAATCAATTATATCGAATAAACCACTGCGCCACCATCACCTAATTCGTTTGACTCACAGGCGCCTGTGGTCACTTCATAAACCCGAGTAACTAATGCACTGCTTATTCGTTTTTCACTCACGCCGCAGTGCATTGGATTTCCCATTTGTCGTTACGACCGCCACGCCCATTTTCCTCATCTGATTCTAACAATATTTGGCACCGGGTTTCTAGGCTGCAAATGCGTATCACAGTTACCTGCTGCCTGTTTCTCACGTATCCATATATCTTTTGCTCCCGTAGAAATACGGTAAAACCTGGTTAATGTGACCCTACTTATACTTTTAGTGTCCACATTGTTGGCGGCTGTGGTTTAGTGCCTGGTCAGTGCCTGTGGGACACCCGGAGCATCCATTGTCAATTGCGGATTTTCATGAGCAACGTCTGTCTTGTATTGCCAGAAGATTCGTTTTGCTTGTTTGATTGTTTCCGATCACCATATGCATAAACACGAATAAGGTCCTCGTGCCAGCAGTCTGTCATCGACCACCATTCTCATTTCTGAATATATATATATATATATATATATATATATATATATATGTGCAAACTTCACTAGCAACTCGGGGAGTGGATTTTCAACGATCAAGTCTCGAAGAATCATTGCGATGGTTCTGTAACAAGTGTTGTGGCTTAGATGCGTTTAACCTCAGTCAACTCGACGCTAGGGCCGATTTTCTGTTTTATCATGATTAGTAAATGGGGGTTTGTATTGCATAATTCACATCAGGAGTTCAGGTATAAGAATGGCCAGATAGAATGATTACCGGATACGCATATCTGACGAGCGGCAAGGACCGCAAAACCGGTCGTGTGCTTCTGGGAGATTTTGTCCAGTCATCTATAATTTAATGGGAATTAGCCTCGTTCTGTATCTTTTCCTACATCGTATAGACAACAATATTCAATGAATGCAAGGGGGGTAAAACGCTCATTATTCTCATTGTCATTATTATTGAT